TTGGGGGAGGGGGGGGGGTGATCGGCACAAGGAAGAGGCAACAGGTATGCCTCGCTGCTATGTGTGGCTTCAAGGGAAGGCGCTCAAAGGCCGACAATGAGGGTGTGTCGCTTTCAAGGCAGTCCGAACAACATCCTGAAGTGTGCCAAGCCCCGGCATACGACGCACCTGCACGCTATGCTGCGCAAAGGCCTCGGGCACGGCGTGGCTGGGGCCGTCTGAGTCGCGCATGCCGCTGCTCAAGCGTGCACGGAAGTGGGGGCAGCGCGCTGCAGCGTGCATTGAGGGTGGCGGCACATGTGAAAGTAGAAAAGTAAGGCAAGATTGTGCCGCAGCCATGGTGACGTGATCGACGTATCGCTTGACAGAATGGAATGCAGTGTGGCGTGAAGCAACATGTCCTGCCTGTACACCTCACACTGTGTTGGTTGCCCCCTCCCTTGACGCCCCAGCCCTAGCCACCCTGGAGTGGAGTGGATGAGCAGCCTGCCTCTCACCGATCAGCACATCCCTGTGGGCCGCCACGCGCCACCCCAGGCCCTCAAACACGTAGTCAGCCTCGCCCACACGTGCACACACAAGGCTGAACGCCACGTCAAACCCTAGGGGCACTGCTGCTGCACCGTGCCCGCGCTGTGCGCGGTCCGGGCGGGCGTGTGCGCCGTCTGTGCCGCTGCCGCTGGCCCCCTCGTGAGAGGACCTGTCACTGTCGGGGGGGCTGCCGCCCCCGTCGATGCTGCTGCCACTGCGGACGCCGATGGCAGCATGGTTGTTGCGGGTGCAGCACGTGTCGGTGTTCTCACGGGCTGGGGCAGTGGCCAAGCTTTTGGGCTCGGGGTCTTGTGGGGTTGGCGCGGCGCGAAGAGGATAGAGGATGAGGGGTGGTTACGCAGTGAGTTGCTGGTTGTTGGGTCCAGGGCAGAACACATTAGCAAGGGACTTCCACCTGCCCAAGCAATTGCGACCCAAGTGCCAAAAGCAGGACGATGCAGTGCCTGTGACTGCAACATTTTGCCGACCATGCCTGCCAAGCTCGGTGTCACGCGTGCGCGCCCTAACCCTGTGCTATGCTC